GTGCTGTTCCGCGATGAAAACCAGCTTTAAGCAACGGCGTAGTCGAACGGTACACACTCGGTAAGTAATCCTATAATTTTTTGTTTATAGCATAGTTTATATGGATTACTCCCAAAAAATTATACGTGTTTTGGAAATGTTGAGTGGAATTAGTCTAGAATCGGTTAATTTTATAGAAGAAAACCTTTCGAACAGCCTTAGTCCGTAAAGTTTCCACCTATCGGGCTGCGATTGGATCATGTATTTATTCATTCCTATAACGTAAAATTCGATTAGCGTGGAACGTATCTAAGCGTTATAGGGGGATCTACTGTAATGATATAAAGATTTTGGACTATTATGATTATTTAATAATTTAATATCAGCTGCAAATAAAATAGAACATCAATTATTTGATCTAGATGAAATTTATTTCATGTCTTAATTATTTCATTGATAGTAACCTGGTATGAAAAAACTTGATTAATAATGACAATTATTTTTTAAATCAAATGATCATTTCTTAATATGTGGAGTAGTAAGTTAATCTTAATGAATTTTAACATTTCAGAAACATTACCATTTTCTCTGAAAACCAGTCCACCTCATAGTAGAGCAACATCACCTCTTAATCATGATCATCATGATGGTTATAAATTTTGGCATCTGGTAAGAATTTCTATTTATTTAAATGTAGTAAATATATTTCTTTATTGTATTTATGTTGTTACATACTAAACAGTAAAACATGTTTAGCTTGTATTATCTTTTGTTTTCAATCAATTATTATATAATATCTCATTTTCTAGAATAATCTGATTATATAACTTTAAATTAAAGTAGAGAGTGTTTTTAATATTTCTATAATAATGAAATTTGTATATACATTTTCTCTTTAGGTTAAGCATGATATGGAACCATCAAAAGAAGGTGAAAGAGGAAATAAGATGGTTTCAGAAATATATCTTACACGTCTTCTTGCAACTAAGGTATATAAATTATCAATAATATTTGAATTTCAAATTATTGTTATCATTTTCTGTAACTGATTGTTTTTACATTTATTTATTTAGGGAACTCTTCAAAAGTTTGTTGATGATCTGTTTGAAACAATATTTTCAATAGCTCATCGTGGAAGTGCTTTGCCATTAGCTATAAAGTATATGTTTGATTTTTTGGATGATCAAGCATTACAGCATGGAATTACAGATCCTGAAGTTGTGCACACGTGGAAATCAAACAGGTATAACTTTTTTCAAGTGTATTACAGAACATATAAGCTGTTGTATTAATATTTGTTTCATTTATTTAGTTTACCTCTTCGATTTTGGGTTAACCTTATCAAAAATCCAAATTTTGTATTTGATATCAACAAATCAAATATTGTTGATTCTTGTTTATCTGTTGTGGCACAGACTTTTATGGATGCTTGTTCTACATCAGATCACAGGCTAGGAAAAGATTCACCAAGCAGTAAATTGCTTTATGCTAAGGATATTCCAGTATATAAAGATTGGGTAGAAAGGTATGATTTTTTCATTTTTTTTCATGGATTAAAATTTAAAAAATTATTTTATAAATTGTTTATATATGAATGTTTACTTTACAGATATTATCAAGATATAAAAATAATGTGTGCCATAAGTGATCAAGATATGAATGCTATGTTGGCTGAAGAATCTAGAGTACGTATTTTTTATCTTTATTTTTTAATAAATAATTCACAAATATTTTTAAGTAAAATTAATCTATCATTTTTATTACTAACTAAATTAATTAATATTTTGATAAAAATAATGTTGAATCTGTTCATTAACTCTGAATTTAGTAATACTTTTTCTAAATTAAAGATTAATCAATCAATAAACTCCACAAGATTTTGACCATTGAAATTAATTAATGTATCAATATCATTTTGATGTATGTTTGACTTGTATGTTTTAAAGAAAATTTTAAAAGTGTTACAAAAAAAATTAAATTATTAGTAATTTTGTTTAATAGTAAATATATTTTCATTATATTTTAATTGAATGTGTTTATTTTCATATTTTCAAATATAAATCATGTATTTAACTAAAATATAAGCTTAAAGAAATAAGAAACCAATATAAGATTGTTTTTAATAAACATAGTATTAAAACTTTAGAGAATATAGCATATTTGTAATGAATTTTGTAGCTCTGGTATACTTTCTTTTTTGGAGAGTAGTAAAGAAAATTTAAAAGACACAGGGGACTCAATAATCATGGAAGTGCATAAGATGCTTGATGTAATAACTTATTTGGGAATAAATAAATTCTCTTTATAAATTTCAAGACATTGGTAGTTTTGAATTTTCACCTTTATATGTGCACAGTGGACAATGGTCAGGTGAAATGTGAATAAAGGTATGTAAAAGTCTGGTGAAAGTCAGTATATTCAAAAGTACCTTATGACAGATGCCCCGACTTGAATTGAAGTGTTATGTGAAGTAAGTAAATAAGAATGCAGTTAGGTTTCATTGACTCTAACATTAAAAGAACATGTTAAGACAATTTAAAAATGTATAACTTGAAGATTTATTGGATTAATTATTTATTAATTAATATGTTACTGCTACCAACTTCAATAAAAGCTAGCATAATGCCAGCAATATAAACTATTGCATTGTTAGCTAATAATGATTAAGATGATCAACTTAAAAACTAGTTAAGACTGGAATCTGGAAACAATTGCATGTTNAAAATTATTTTATTGCTCATGAAACAAACAACCACTCATAATTAGAAAATTAAGTTTCATTTAAATATTGGCCTCCCTTCAATGGTCGAGCCGTTGATGCCAGCTAAAACACGCAAAAATGTAACAAAAATAATATTAAAGTAGCCAAGACATAGCTAAATATTGTAATGCCACATCACTAGCGGACATTTTGAAATTTGCCGACTAGAACAGTTGGTTAACCGATGTGACGGTTAATCGGGGGTCGGATAATCGATGCTCTAATGTATATTCTTATGCTATTATCTCTAAGGATCAAATATTATTTTAAAGACTATTTTTGGAAATATTTTGTAATCTATATACAATAATATCTGTACTAAAAATGTTCTCTCTGTTCTCTGCTCTAAAATAAAGTCAATATTAATCTAATACTAAATATACTTAAGTAATCATTACATACTCAAAGTAATTATAATTTGGTGTATATTAATATTACAGAATAAAATACAAAATTTGTTGGGAAAAAGAAATTTTTTGATAAGTGCTCATTAGAATTATTGTAATTGATAAAGACTATAAAGTAGCATGTTTTGTTGACATAACCATTCTTAATGCAGATTACACACAGGCATGAATGTATAGTACATCCCTGTTTGTTTTCAAATTAAAGCTCGTTGAAATATATAAAATGATTACAATACCAATTATATCTTCTGAATTATGAATATTTTCATTTAACTATACATGAAAATGCAGCAGTTTTAAAAACATGCAACATAATAATTTCAAATTAATACCAAACAATTATTATTAATTTTTAATATTTTAAATACAGTCGACCCCCCTATAAGATAGAGATACGTTCCATTCTCTAGGAATCCGATTTCTTACGAATCCTTCCAATCACAACCCGACACGTGTCAAGTTTACGGACTACGGCTGTTTGAAAGATTTTCTTCCATAAAATTAATCGATTCTAGACTAATCCGACTCAACATTTCCAAAATACGTATATATTTTTTGGGAATAATCCGTATAAACTACGCTATAAACAAAAAATTGTAGGATTACTTACCGAGTGTCACCATTCGACATTGCCATTGCTCAACATTGTTTTCGTCGCG